GGTTTTTCGACAATTCCCAGCAACTTTTCGATAACTAAAACACTTAAGGAATTGGAACATGACTGGCTTACAGATCTTACTCCAATTCTAATTTTTTTATAAACTATCACGAAGATAACTCGAAAGACCGACTTTCTATGAACCTCGGCATAAATAGTTGATATATTTATTTATGAGATCTTATAAACTGATCTTCTTAAGCTGACGCGAGGTTGGTACAGATCTTCGTTGTCGTTGTCGTTGTTTTTGATGTTATTGATCGATAGCCGACGTTTCGGCGACTTCGCCTTCCTCAGAGCCTGGACGTACTTTATGTTAGAATACTTTTTATTATTCGGTGGAAAAGAAGGTTAAAGTATTAATGAAGATCAAACTTTCAAATAGACGCCATATTGAACAGAAAGGCCACTCACCGTGATGTTACGTGCGGGACTGGCCCACACGTAGTTCACGTGGAGTCGCGAGCAAGACACGCCCCGGGGTCAAAATATCATTTTGAAATAGGGCGCCAGGTCACGTGTGATAGTGAGGCATTCGTCCTTCCGGTTCATCTTTGGATTTTTGAAATTTATCCAAAACGCCTCAAGAGTTTTGCGCGTTGATGTTTTTGATTCCTGCGCTAGGATCCGCACATTCACTTCAAAATCATCGCCGTTGTGCTTTTGTGCCCTATGCGTACCTAGAGGGGTGTTTAAACGGATTTTAGCTTTCCCATCTAGATGTTCTTTTATGCGGACACAAAGTGGTCTACCCGTTTCCCCGATATATTCCTCGCCGCATGCATTACATGAGATCAAGTATATTATACCTAAACTCATGCGATCTGTACCAACCTCGCGTCAGCTTAAGAAGATCAGTTTATAAGATCTCATAAATAAATATATCACGAAGATAACTTCAGTGATGTTGACGAACGCGATATTGCCCTTTCCGGGGAGTAACGCGTTCACCACCACACCATGCGGGTCCTTTGTTTCTCCTGTCTCTCAGCTACTTCTATAGATCTTTTGCCATCAGCAATCACCCGTTATCGGGATTGATCTGGGGTGCCCAAATCGGCAACGAACCCAGTTAAGCTGAGGCTGTAGTTATAATCACAATTTTAACTTATTATTTATTGCCTACTCTTTTTAATGGCAGGGTATATATTGTGAAAAAACGCGTTGCTCCCCGGAAAGGACAATAGCGCGTTCGTTCCCCATCGCGTACACCTGCGGTCCGGAGTTTTGCCAATATTTCAACATCATTGAAGTCATATTTCGCAATATATACCCTGCCATTAGAAAGAGTGGGTAGTAAATAATAAGTCAAAATTATCACGAAGATGCTACCGTATTACTCTTGAAAGCTGATGTTTCTGCGGATTGGGAATTCCTTGAAAGCATGGAAAGGTCAAATTTATTGCATTCTAATTTGCTAGGTACTTCCATAACCTTAACAGAAAGGCCCGGCCCTAAACTGCATTCTCATAGCAAACAGCTTCTTTAAAACGTCCACCATTTTGTTCTTTGTACGTCTTCAAGTTATTTGGTGGAGAACAGCCTCACGGGGTGACGACTGTGCCTAGCTCAGGTCAAAAAATAGGCCTAAGGTATGGTGCGATCACAAGGCACTCCTCCTTGCGGGTCATTTTTGGACTCTTAGAATTCAATCAGAACGAATCGATGACTTTACGCACGCTGATGCTTTGTATTTCTGTGAGAGCGAAGTGACCTTCATGTTAACATCTTTGTTTCCTATAAGTGCCTAGTTGAGCGTTTTATTTTGCTCTAAGCTTCTCAATTAGGTGACCTTTTATACGGGAGCGGTGTGATCTTCCCGTTTCTCTAACGTATCCGATCCCACACGCTTTGCAAGAAATTGAGCATACCGCACCTAATCTCCTGCAATCACCGTCTCTATCATGAGGACAAATTGTGCAAATGTCCATTTTTCATGGACGTTCATGCAAACGGTTACGACAAAGCTGACGTTTTAGAATGTTCTGTGGTATTACAATCACTGCTACCGAGTTTTCTGGAGCGAGCCTTTTAAGCACCACTTTATAACTGTTCTTATTTCGTTAGAGATAAAATCCAAGTTAAACGGGATCCTGTTTTCGTTGGATTTTTCATTGAGTGGCTTTGTTTCCCATAAAGCCATTCCGTGAAGATACTGCCTTCTAGCCACTCGAAATGGCTACTCGCTCTGCCAACTTCAGGGATTTCTCTTTCTACTATCCTCCTATGTATATTCTGGTGGTTGTTCGAAATAACTTTGTCACAACAATCGCTTTTATATGTGGAAGAGTCAGCATAGAGGTAATGAAACAGTAGGTTTTTGTTACTTATCGTTTGGTAGAATTTGGCGGCATAGCTGTTTTAGTAGAGATTGGTACCAACGTTTAAAAACAGAAGTCAATCTTCACTTGACTTTTGTAGCGTGAAATTTATGTACTCTGACTGTTGGTTTAACAATTCAGTAGATGATGACAAAACAGTCATCGATATACCTACAGTAGAGAAATGTCCGGCGAAGGAGTACTCGAACTTCAACTTTAGACATGAACACAATTTCAAGGTTTAGTACCACTTGCCTTCTATTCTCAACCTCATTTATGCGTAGTATTTTCGGCATCATGGGAATACTGAGCATTTTGGGGGCTTCTTTGAGAGAGCTGTGAGCTCCGGAATCGAGAAGCCAAACAAGTTTATTGTTCCTTCGTGTTGCATAAGGAGTTCAAGTGTGGCTTGCACAGAATTGCGTGACACGTTAGTGTAAACGGCCACAACGTCGAAGGAATCCGTCACGTAAGCATTGTTACTAGATGCGTTACGTCGACAAACAAAGAGCCTGGGTATTTATAAGATAGGCTAGAATGTGTTTCAGCAACTGGATAAGAACAAGGTTATAAAGCAAACCTTCCTATCCGGTGATCCGTCCGCAAATGCTGATGTCTCTGACCTTGAATAGCGATGAGTCCAATAGTCGCAAGATTATCGTGGATGGAAAAACGTTTTTTAAAGTAAGTAACTTCAAGGGACATCTTGGTGGTTCAATTTTAAGTTGAGAAACAACTGTTCGCCCCAAACCTACCGCTTTTGTCACTCTGGCCTTCTCTGCTGCAACTTTTCAGCATTTTCTTTCCAGTTCTTTTCCAGATAATAGGCGAGAAATGGAAGTATTTTAAAGCTGCTTTTCCTTCATCTCAACATCCAAATGACGAGGAATTACTGCAAACTTCGCACTGTTACCACCAGCTGTCAATTTAATATTTTTTGAGTTTATCAGTTCTCGGACCTGTCGCATGCCACATTTTTGTGGGCAACTATGAGGTTGGAGAGAGAGTTTATCAAACTCAGCATAGGGGCATTGCTGTTTACGGAACGCTTAAGAAAACAGTGGCGGTGATAACACCTCTGGTTCTTTTTCCTCATTCCTATTTAGTGTTTTCAACTTTAGCTTCACTGCGAAGTCTATCTTGAAGTTCATGTGAACTAAATGGGACCCTAAGTAATGTTGCTTTGAAAACGGATTCAGCTGCTGAGATATGTGAACCCGTTCATTGATACTGATATCGAACCCATTCTTTAAGGAGGGTCACCACTCTTCGCACGGTAATCCTCGACGTTTGTGGCATATTGTTTGCCCTAGTTTTACTCCACTGATCTTTTCAAACGGTGTCTTCGTTCCTTTTTTGAACCGTGTTATGTTATTTACCCAATAGCTTCTCGATTTTTCTTCGCAAGTTAACTTCAACATTTGACACAACTGTGTATGTAGGGAGTATAGACTTTACTGTATTGCTTTAAAGGTATTTAAAGATTTTCTAAACTGTTCTTGTTAAGTTTTTTAAGTCTTAAGTTGTGTTTCAAACAAATCGTCGGAGAAATGGAAATCGGTATAAAAATTGGATTCTGTGAAATGCAGATAGTCAGGATTTAAATATGAGGAAATAAACAAGGTTCTGTCGCTTTGAGCAAAGACTTCTTGGTCCCAAGAAATATGAAAGACTGAATGGTTTTTGGACATAGAAGAATAGCAGGGCGCACATTGAGCGGCTAAAGCATTGCTATGATTCGTTACGGTGGCTACAAAGGAAGTAGGATCAATTGTTACAAAGTTTAGCACCTCTGAAATATGGGCCAAGTAGGGTGGAAATCAACGAGACCAGACTATCCGTCACATGAATCGAAGAATGCTGTAGAACATAAGCTATAGTGGTACGAAATGCAGCCGTTCGCATGAGATTTTATTACCGTTCTTTCCTTATCGCTGCCTACTTTCTCTTCCGTCACCACTCTTTTGCTTGCTGGCTTTTACTATATCTCAGCTACTACTTTCACGTCAAAGTAATTGAAGTTCTCGCTACTGTCTGAGAAATGTATAGCTTCATTTACTACCTACTAGTTTTTTTTCACGGCAGAGTATTATGTACCACGATGATGCTGAGATGTTTGCAAAAGTCCGGAACGCCGGTGTATGCGGTGGGGAACGAAGGCGCTATTACCTTTTCCGGGGGCCTACGTGTAACGCACGGCACCACTGAGGTCTTCGTCCTGCCTTTCTCTCAGCCAGTCTTTTTACCTTAACTGTGCCATAAGCAATCAGCCGTCAACAGGAATGGTTAAGAGAAAGGGAGAACGAGAGCCTCAGCGGTGCAGTGGGTAGGACGCGACCACGGGGAAAGGGTAATCGCGATTCGATCTGGCCTGGAGCCCAAGTTTTGCAAAAATCTCACCATAGTTGTAGTTGTATACCATAGAAAACTCATTATCAGACATATTTAGTCAATTCAGAGACGAAAACTTCCACCGCCGCATTTCTAATTCTCGACAAGGACCGCTTGACCACTCCAAGACTCGCCGCTGATTTGGATCGAATGTACGCAATTACGTAGACATCACCAATCGGACGGCACTTGCTATTTTCTATGTATTGTATTTTGTGTTCCATTCCGGTTCCTCATATTTATTCTGTTTCAAATTGTTGGCAGGGTGTTTCCACTTGTTTCAGATATTATGGTTAAAGTAAGGAAAACAAAAAAGCCCACATCTGCGCTTAACACGCAATGTAAGCCGTTTTAAGTTCGTTATATTTTATGTTAGATCTGCGGTTTATATAAATCCTTTATAGCACTTCCGTTCAATACAGAGAAGGGCCAGCACATCTTGAAAAATCCTGGTATTATTAATTCAATTATTGAAAAGGTCAGTCTTTGTTTCTGATGTAAAGATTCCAGTCCTAATCATTTCTAGCTCAAGTGAACGAGGTGGGTTATAAAGCGCTCATAACTAGATTTTCTGAGCTTCCTTTCACGAATATGGTCAGTCTACTGACTTAATTCAATGCAATCTTCCTGAACTTTTGAAAGGGGTTTTAGATCGTTTGAAGATCCCTCCGTTTCGAAAAACGCGACTTGGAGTAGTAGTTTGAAGTGAGCTTATTGTGCTACCTTTCATGAAAAAGCAAAAGTTTGATACAAACTCACAAGGGAACTAGAGCTGAAAAGCGAGCAGATACTTTTATATGTAGTGTTGTGCCTCTACAGCCACGGTTTGCAAGCCGTTCTCTTTACTTCTGTATCAAGCTCATCTCACGCACTGAACTAAAGAGTTGTAAAAATGGGGTAAAGCTCTCGGCATTGATCTGTTCCTGAAGGATGGGCCATGCATTCGAATTCATTAAGCATCGTTGGAGGTGATTGAATGCATATCTGGCCTTTACAATGACTGCGGGTGGCCTATCGATGTATCGAGCCAGTGCTGCTGTCCTCCCAGACAAGTCTGGTACCAATTTGCCGATCCCGGAGCGATGGAGGGCTCGGTAAGCCTGGGGCACGGGGATCGGTACCACGTGTATCGCAGGGCGCGTCCGATCACTGCGCAACAGAACGGTAGACCATCATAATAGGATTTGAAACAATACTGAATTGCGAGAATTGGGGCAGTTGTACTACTGATTAGAGTTCTCTACGGATTCTATTTTTCATTTTAGTTTGGAAAGTCCCTTCAGTTCTTCAACTGAATTTCTTTTTAGTCCGCTTTGAAATCTACGGATACTGTTCTTGAAGTTGGATCAGGAACTGGTAATTTGACGGTAAAGTTGCTAGAACACAGCAAGAAAGTGATTGCTTGTGAAATTGACCCACGAATGGTTGCAGAGTTAAAGAAACGAGTCCTAGCTACGTGAGTTAAGTCCTCTTCGTTCTATAAATAAATTCTACCCTCAGTGGTGGCCGCCTTTTCTATACTATGACTTTTAGACCACTACAAAGTAAACTGGAAGTTCGTAATGGTGACGTTATGAAGACACAGTGGCCATTTTTCGATGTTTGCGTGGCGAACTTGCCTTACCAAATTTCCTCTCCGTTTGTTTTCAAGTTGCTGTTACAAAGGCCGTTACCAAGTTAAGATGTGTAGTTTTTTACTTACTTGTTATTTTTGTATTATAATGGAGAGGTTTAAGGGCGCGTGTAGCGCAGTGGCCGGAGACGCCCTGCAATACACATGAGATCGATCCACGCACTCTAGGCTCACCAAGCCTTCCATCCGTCCGGTGTCGGCAAATTGGTACTAGACTTGTCTGGAGCGTAGTAGCACTGCCTCGATACATCGGTAGGCCACTGCGGGTCATTGTAAAGACCAGATATGCATTCGGTCACCTCCAACAATGCTTAGTGAAGTCGAATGCATGGCGCATCCCACAGGGATTGGTGAACTCTGAGAGCTTTATTCTTTAGCCTTTATAAAGGAGAGATTTCATCTTGAGATTCTGCATCGTTTGCATACGGTACCAGAATATTTCATAAACTTTTATAAGCGATGGTTCTTCTCCGTTCTGAAATATATTCTGTTATAGATATGCGGTGTTATTGTTTCAAAAGGAATTTGCTGATAGGTTAATAGCGAAGCCTGGTGACAAGGATTACTGTCGATTATCAGTTAATATTCAATTGTTGGCTAAGGCAAGTCGCGTTCAAACTCAGTTGCATTTTACATTTCTCATATTGCTTTGTGTTACAGGTAGAGCATCTTATGAAAGTTAAACGTACTGAGTTCCGTCCTCCACCAAAAGTCGATTCAGCGGTTGTACGGATAGCTCCTAAAAATCCTCCACCGCCAATCAATTTCGATGTATGTAGCTTTATACCTATGTTAAGTCGCAATTTCTTCTTTCCATATTGATTATTCAAGCATTTGGCCATCTTTTGCAGGAATGGGAAGGAATGCTTCGATTGTGCTTTTTGAGGAAGAATAAAACATTAATGTCAATTTTCAAGTTAAATAATGTGATTGAACTCATAGAGAAGAACTATCGAAGACTATGCAGTTTGTTGAATAAGGTGAGTAGATAATATTGTTTCTTAGTTTTTCTCCATTCTTCTTACCTTGGAAGGTTTTGCACTAGATTCCTAATGTTTCCTAGGTTTGCTCACTGCAGCAATCTAGGAGTCCGACCGCTTTTTATGTTATCACTTTCGTTATTCACAGGTCATAATGTTATGGTCAACATGTGTTTAAATTGTTGAGCTTACACGAGAGAGACGTTTATTCGGCTAACGTTTCGATGTCCGTCTTCACCAGACCCGTTGATCCCAGTCGATAGTCCACAGTTGTTGATCTTCTCGATGTGAGTACGCCTCACTCGAGAGATGCTCGACTGAGGAAGATTCGACTCGATACGAAGACGAAGACGCCACATTGAGAAGACGAACAAGTGTGGACCATCGACTCTGATGAAGACGAAGACGTGGAAACATTAACTGAATAAAACTATGTTATCAACCTTTTGTAAGCTCAGCGACGATTTAAACACATGTCGATTATTTTAATTCCGAGGTTAAATAACAGCCGGTTTCAAAGTCATAGTTATATGTTTATCCTTGGACGATGTTTTAGAAAGTTGTGTATTGAATTAGACTCAGCAAATATAGCTCCATTTCTGTCTTCTGTGGCTGCGTTCAGCAGTACCAGTAGTTTTTGACACATCGTATCTGCTTTTGCACCCTTTTCTCCTAATAGCTTTAACTCTTTAACTTTATGTAATGCTGAGATATTTGCAAAACTCCGGACCGCAGGTGTATGCGATGGGGAACGAACGCGCGCTATTATCCTTTCCGGGAAGTAGCGCACTTCACGCACCCCCCACCATCCGGGTCTTTAACTTTAATTCTTAGCTCTACTAGCTTATGTTATGGTTCTGCAGTGTATTAGTAAATCGTTATTCTTTTTCATCAGTTAAGTAACGTGTTTTTAGCCATTACCAAAAGATCTGGACGTTAAGAAACTTGTTGAGGATACGCTCCAAGACGCTGGTTTTGCTGATAAACGTGCACGTACCATGACAATAGAGCAATTTCTTGCCCTTCTTCTTGCATTCAACAAAGCAGGCATTCATTTCCATTCGTAGATTCGTGTGTATGTTATTGTTCCCAGCGTACTTGGACGTTGGAAATTCTTAATTTGTCAGTCGAAGCTGTCGAAATACCGCAAGCTACACCTTTATAGTCTAAGTTTTATATTGACTTGCTGATTCCGCAAAACCATGTTGTTGTGGAAACTCAATTTAAAGAATAATAGACTTATGTTACTCTTGTTATTGTTACTGTTCGTTATGTTCCATTTGTTAGGTCTGTAAGGTGGGTGGGAAAGCAAAGCTGAGGATCCTTTTTTCGCCAAACTACTTTGTTAGGAAGTACGCATTTCCGGTATCCTTTGCACGTTCTTTCACCAAATTCGTAAACGTCTGACTCGGAAGTATTTCTTCTACAATGTGCAATTTTTAGAGGAAGCTTACATTGGGTATTTGTAGTATGTAGCAGGAGTAAGCATTGGTAGAATTCCCACAATCAATGCATAGTGCACAATCTTTGGAAGACAAATATATAACTCATATCCTTGTGACGCGTGTAGCGCAGTGATCGTAGGCGCCTTTCAACTTACACGTGGAATCGATCCTCGCGTCCGTGGCTCACCAAACCTTCCATCCCTCTGGGGTAGGCAAATTGGTACCAGACCTGTCTGGAAGGATAGCAGCACTGGCTCGGTAGGCCATCGTGAGTCATTGTAAAAGCCAAACATGCATTCAATCACCTCCAGACGATGCTTAATGAAGTCGAATGCATGGCGCATCCCTCAGGAATTGATCAACACCAACAGCTTTATCCTTTATTTTTTTTATACGTACTAAACGCTTCGTACACAGAATTTACACTGCTTACCTATAAAGGTATACACTGCGTATCTCCGACACAGAATTTATAATCATTAACAACATTCCGTTCCTACATCGGATCTGTATCCTTACCTACAATCATGTACAATGTATACGTCCTACAACACTAGTAATAGCAACGTCACTATTTCTTTGATATTAGTTCGTCTTTTCTCCCGGAGCGCGGTTAGCGGACGGCAGAGAAACACTACTGTAGGTCCCTCAGGCATAGTTTCTATTAGAAATCGCCCAACCTAATATTTAGCATGTAGTGTGTGTAGATTCTCCAGGCTCTCACCAATCATCTATGCATGAAGAAGTGGAGGAACAACGGCATACATCTAAACAATGAATAAAAGTAGATGTCCCAAGGTAGTGAAGAACCAAAAAGTCTGTACCACTTAGTTGTTATCCTAATCTATGGAGAAAGGGCCATTATTGGTCACAGACAAGTTCCACCTCTCTTTGCTTCTCATGCACGTGCGACTCAAGTCTTATGCAAACAGAACACTTTCTTCCACATCACACCAACAGTAATCAAAAGGTACGATTCAGCAGGCCACTACCCAACTTGACTGCTTGCCAATTGTCTCGTCGTCATCGGTAACCTTTTCATTATTACTGTCTATGAGGAGTTTACTGAACAAAATTTAGAAATTCTCAGTCAGTGAAATGACAGCACTAAAATTTGACCTCTTGATTAATTCCTTAACACATTTAAAGTAATAGTAGGTGGGGACTACGATGAAACAAAGAAAGGGTGTACAGGAAAGCATTGATGAGCACCCAAGAACAAAAGCCGATGCTTCAAAAAGGGAGGAAAGGATAAAAAATAAAGTTCTCGGCGTTGATCAATCTCTGAGGAATGCGTCATGCATTCGACCTCATTAAGCATCGGTAGAGTTGATTGAGTACTTATCTGGTTTTTACAATGACTCGTGGTGGCCTATCAATGTATCAAGCTAGTGTTGGTATCCTCGTAGACCAGACAAGTCTGGTAATAATTTTCCGATCCCTGAGGGATAGAGGGCTTGGTGGACCTCGGGCGTCAGGATCGACCCCATGTGTATGCAGAGCGCCTTCTACCACTCCGTTAGACGCGCACACCACTTCGCTACAAGTGCCCAGCTTGACTACTGAGTACTTATAAAAGTGAGCAAAAGTACAGATAGTTTTTTATATTATTATTTTTTATTACACGACCCGACATGCACCACACTTTATGGATCCTAGCACTTCTTGCATTCGATTCATCTTCCCGCGTTCACCGTCAAAAGAGGTCTTCAAACTCTTTTCGTGTGCATTCAGTTTTTGCTTGAGAATTTCTCTTCCGTCGTCAATGTCATCGAGTGTTGTTTGATTCGATTTTGCCTGGAATGCTGGGATAGCCGCGATGGAGCGTTCCCACATGTATTAGGAGAGCGAACTTGTCCCAAAGAAGTCTGGTACCAATTTCCCGATCGATTATAGATTACATTAATTGTACCAGGAATGTTAACCCTTTTCATCAAATACTCAAGATTGGTGATTTGTGGATTTCGTTTTCCACAGTTTTTTTCCACGTATTTTAAAATATTTCATAGTATAACTTTTCGCATTTATTCAGCAACTTAGTCGGAAGTAAGTCGCGTACCCAGTGAATTACAAATGGGAAGAAAAACTCGACGGCTAATAGGATTTCCATGTTTTCAAGCTGAAATGGTTATAACACATTTGAACATTCAGGGATCGACAAAACATTATTGACTCAACCAATCTATATATTAACTAACCATAAACCTAGTCCTTCGTTTCGCCTGTCTCTCAGCTAGTTCTATCGATCTTTTGCCATCAGCGATCACCCGTCAGCGGGATTGATCGGGGCGCCCAAATCGGCAACGAACCCAGTTAAGCTGAGGCCGCAGTTATAACCACAATTTTAACTTATTATTTATTGCCTACTCTTTTTAACGGCAGGGTATACATTGTGACCCGCGTGGTGTGGTGGTGGACGCGCTACTTCCCGGAAAGGACAATAGCGCGTCCGTTTCCCACCGCATACACCTGCGGTCCGCAGCTTTGCAAATATCTCAGCATCATTGAAGTTATATTTCACATTGTATATCCTGCCGTTAAATAAAGTTGGCAGTAAATAAGTTAAAATTGTGATCATAAACCTAGTCGTTTGGTGTCCATCTCTCTCTTTTCTATCCACTGCTCCGTTTTTTTTCTACTTTATCCTCAATCGCTTTCTCTTTGACCCTTTCTCTTTGACCCTTATTCTTCTCACTGTTCCCAATAGTACATTTTTATCCCTCTTCGTTTGCCCCTGAATTTTTCCCTTCGCAGATTTTGTTCTGTCTTTATCTTTCCCGTTTGCTTCCCTTTCACACATTAAGTTGTCCGATCTCAGATGTATTGCAAAGAATGCATTAAATCATCTGCACTGTTTATCCCTTGTTAAATAAATATGACTTTCGTTTTACCCGGAGTAACTTCAATTAAGCGAACTAACATCTTGGCAAATTTAATTTCACATCGATGCATCGAAGAACCAGGAACATTTTATAACCATGAAATCATTCTATGGAGTTATTAACGAGCATTTCCTCCACTGTGTTTTCTCTGCCCCTAACATCCTTTAGAACCATCCCAAGAATATTCTGACATATCTTAACCATCTGACTATCTTTACGATCTTTTATTTCTTTGATGTCATCTTAGCTTATTTCACTGCGTAGGTTGATCCATTGAAATCCACTGAAATCCACTGAAATCAATTCTCACATTCTCAGAGCCAAATTAAGACAATGATCAAAACAAAGGTAAAGTAAACAAATTTCTACTAAAAAGTCAAGGTCTATCTCCAATTCACCAATTTCTATTTCTAGAAAATTCTATTTACATTCGTGTGTAACGATTTCTACGAAATAGAATTTACTGGGTTGTGATTTCCAACGGTGTCTATTGTTGTGGTTCATATAGGGCATCTTTTACTGGAGCGGAAGTTCGCTGTAGATTAGTTCGTCAGCATCGTGGAGTCAACCGATGCCATACGGCGAGTGGCGTTTCTGGATGTTCTATCACCTCCTTCCATTGACGCGCACCAGCTTCGCCACCCAATGGACCAATGATAGCGTGGCCAATTTCGTCGTTACTCGACAAGAGATCGTAGTCCATGACCTAGAAGGTAATGTTAACATCATAGCGCTAGTTAAAATGTTCATAATACTGTCGATAATAACAACGATAGATAGAAGTTGAGAATTTGAAAAGTTTAACTATATCAGCGGTTTTGAAACTCAAACTGAGCAATGTGATACTTTTTATTTGATAGATCAATAACTCTCAAAAGCTTATATTTCTAGCCATTAATTTATTTCAATCTTCCTTCTAGTTGTTCACCAAATAGTCGGACCTGTTAAATATTTCAAACTGAATATTCGACAACAT